TTACATGTATCATTAAATATTTCCTTATTATTTTCCTGGCTCCCCAGAGAAGTGCTTTACATTATACACATGAATATTTGGGGAATGTCCAATTGAACACTATTTCCAATTCAACTACACTAAACTATTTCCATTGTTGCAGATTGAATCAAAGAAAATAATTGACCTTTCCCTTCATTCATTGCAATTCCTCTAACTAGAGATGACACAAAGGTGAATGATAAGAATTGCTTTCCTAATCTAAGTTTTTTCCAATATTAAATTTAGTTTCATTTTAAACAAGCAATGCCTTTATACAATTCTTACAATGTATCTTTTATTAGAAAATATTCTCATTAATAAATGAAGCAATCTAGAGATACCACAAAGATGAAAGATAAGAATTCCTTACTTTGGATGGCCAAAATACTCAAGAGAGGGATGCTGCTGAAATGAAACTTCATTAAATTGGTAGTTAGCCATAGATACCATCCCACCAATGACAAGGTCCCCTGGCTGGTACCATTGATTTGGAATAGGTATGGGTTCACCTAGATGACACAGCAGGAACTTCACTCTGAAGACTGGAAATAGGAGAAAAAAGAACATTCTGGGCAACATCTTGTCTCTAAGTATAGATGTTCCACCAGGAGCAGCTTTCCATGTTATACTGCATTCACCAGACTCAAAATTCCTGTTAAGAGCAAGTCTGAAGCCTAACCTTTAGCCCTGATTCTTCTTGCAAACAGTGATAATATTGTAAAAGGTCTGAATGACAATGTAGAGTTCCAGCAATAGAACTTAATTTGTGGCAGTGGAAATCATAGGACTTGTGTGTTCTTGTCTTCTACTGTCCAGTCTCTAAGGGGCAGTCCTTTTTAATATTTTCTTTTCTTTTCTATAATGTCTTCTTGAATTGTTTACAGTTTTGATGAAGGGAGAAAATTATTATCATTGGAATACTTTCAATTATGTCTTCAACTTTTTGTCTCCCATTGTTAGCAATATGTGGGTGTGTTTGTGTGGGTATAGCTGAATTTATATAGGGTGTGTTTGTGTGTGTATAGCTGAATAAATTTCTTAATTTATTTTCTCTTTCTGATGTAATAATTGGAAAAGTTCAGAGGTAAGCTTAAATTTATCTCATAGCTACACTTTGAATAATAAAACTTTGGTTATTTTCCAATTTTAAACCAAATGAAGGATTATTAACATCACTTCCCAGGATATTTTCGGAATAGAAGATTGCTCCATTTGTAATCTGTTGGCCTGGTTACATTCTCATATGAATAACACAACATATTGATTAGGTTAATCTGAAGAACCTGATAGAAATCTATCTGGAAGGGATCTGTTATCAGGACAAGGAAATTGTTCTGAATAGAGTTGATACTTGGTACTTGTTTTTAGGAATCCCATCATGAATCCTCACATGGAGAGGACCTCTAGTCCTCTGTCTCTACCAACCATAATGCACTATGACAAAAGGAGGAAAACTAGCACAACACCATGCCATCCACCCCCAATCCTCTGAGCTGATCCAGAAGGACATCATGATCAATGGTACTGTAAGCCACCAATAGGTCAAGTAGGACAAGAATGGATGCACAACCCACATTCCACCCATGCCAGAGATCACTCTAGAAAGAGTACAGAGAAGAGCAACAAAGATGATTAGGGGGCTGGAGGCTAAAACATACAGGGGACAGTTGCTGGAATTGGGTATGTCTAGTTTAATGAAGAGAAGGACGAGGGGGGACATGATAGCACTGTTCCAATATCTCAGGGGTTGCCACAAAGAAGAGGGAGCCAAGCTATTCTTCAAAGCACCTGAAAGTGGGACAAGAAGCAATGGATGGAAACTAACCAAAGAGAGAAGCAACCTAGAACTAAGGAGAAACTTCCTGACAGTTAGAACAATTAACAAGTGGAATAACCTGCCTCCAGAAGCTGTGAATGCTCCAACACTGGAGGTTTTGAAGAAGAGATTGGACAGCCATTTGTCTGAAATGGTATAGGGTGTCCTTCCTGAGCAGGGGGTTGGACTAGATGATCTTCAAGGTCACTTCCAACTTTATTATTATTATTATTATTATTATTATTATTATTATTATTATTATTATTATTATTATTATTATTATTATTATTATTATTATTAT